ATAATTATTTATATATATATATATATATTTATTTAAGGATTATAACAACATGCTTATAGAAATTTTCTGATGTATCAGTAAAATTTCTTTCTATTCTATTAGAATATTGCATCAATAATTTTAGAGATTCCTGAACTACTAAAAATGGTATACGCTTTTAAAATGGAATTTTAATCAATCACACATTAATATTTATACTATATTTCTCCATTTGAAAGATTCTTTCCACCTCTATAACGTACTTACGCACTGCTGGTCAGTTTTAAATGTCTATCTTGGCAAGACTATATTACACCGTACACCTTCGGAACATTTTCTAAATCCGAGGAGATTATTTATTTATATATATAGTTTTTTATCTTTTATTTAAAATCAGATCGAGAAAATGTCTTGACACGAAATTTAAATGTAATAACAGGTCTCGCAACAAGAGAATCTGATTTCATCTAAACATAGATATTTAGGTGAAACAAATTAATGATAATAATAGGCACGTGATTATTAAGTACAGAAAAGTTCTTGTGTTGGAACATGCGATACATCTATTTTGCTTGAATATATTTCCGCGTGATGTATTAAAAGAGAGCTATCATTTCTTCAAAGTGTCCTTATTTTAAATATTAAGTCAAATGATATTAGACTTCGTCTCTCTTGACAATGAATTTTCATGCATGCGTGCGTGCGTGCATAATTTGTGTGTATGTATGTATGTATTTATGTATGTATGATGTATGTGTACGTGTATGTGTGGTGTCATAGATTAGAGCATTAAAACAAGTCGTTAAAAAACATTGTAGCATTTTTGTACTTTATCTTAAAGGAACTGATGCTAAACTACGTATGAAGAACAAAAATAAAAGAAAGAAAATATTTTTTTCATTAATAAGTACATTGAAAAAAAAAAGAAATACACACTGTAAAAAGCAAGAAATCGTTGATAAATTGTTTCGTTAAAAATTATTGATTATTGTGTAGTCCGTTGTTTTAGTGACGTCAGAAAAAACTGAAACATTATATATTTATTGTTTCTATCTCATAAAAGTTCAAATTGTTTTCATTTCCATCGATATATATATATATATATATATATATATATATATATATATATATATATATATATAT